AGCGGCCCCTGCAGATCCGCCGGCCCCCGCCGGACCGCGTCGCGACCAGCCGCGGATTCCCAGGGGGTTGCGATTGTGCCGAGCCGCATGCTCACCGTAAGTGCCGTTGCCCAGGACCTCCCCCACGCTGTAGATCTCGTCAAACCGCTCCGGAAGGAAGAGCGACGCGGGGGCATCGTCCTGCTGCATCAATGCTAGCGGGCTTGCCAGGATAGCGTCGGGCCCCGCTGTACCGAAGAGAAGACTGTCCACGTGCCGCACGCTGTTGCGCTGCTGCTGCTCATGGTGCTGCTGGTGGGGTGGAGCGAGCTGCTGCACGAGACGCGCGCTGCCGCTGTTGGGCGACGGCTCCTCAAGCTGATGCACGGCTGCAGGTGAAGCAGCAAGGGCCGCTGCAGGGAAGCAGTCACATATATGCCGCCTCTGACGAGTTGCTGGCAGTCCCTGAAGGACCTGCGAGCAAGTCTGTGACGACGTTGACCTCAGCCCGAACGCGGAGGGTGCACCTGCGTAGAGGAGCATCGATACAGCGCCGAGTTGAGATAAAGGACCTATCAATTATCGTGTTCAGGCGTGCAGACAAGCTGTCCAAGTACCGTTGTTGCGAGTGCCCGACTCGCTCGCCCACCTGTCGAGACCACGTGGGAGGTCAAGAGAGCGAACATGGCTCAAAGCACTGGATATTGGAACTAGCAGCCGCCGGGACCTCCACTCTGCTGCGGCGGCCCTAGCCTCGGGGTCGTGGAGTTGCTGCAACGATATGCGTGCATCGGATGTGAAAGCAAACATGCAAAGTGTCGCGATGCTGCAACAACCAGGAGCAAATGTACGGTACAAGTTCTTCCGTCTTTCGTGCCGTGTACGATCATGTGGCCGGTGCACACGGTGTCGTTCTGCGCAAAAAGGGTTCTGAGGTCCGAGAAATAGGCATGAAAGGCTGTAGGTTTGAGCCTTCCTGCCTCGCCGCCCAGGTACAATCTTCGGGCCGGCAGGCCGCACGCCGCAGTTGACTCAGACTGAATCATACCGTGGCACCTGCTGGTTTTTTCCGAGCAGGGACTGGTCCATATCGGCACCACAGCAACAATTCTGCACCCATGCATGGCAAGGAATACGAAGTGCAGGCAGCCAGGCGGTGTGGCCAAGTGCGAGGAAAAAAACTGACATCCTGCCCGCCGTTTGACCACCAAATTCCAGCTGCGGAAACCATCATGAGCGTCACCTGCAAGCAAAATTGAGCCGCATCATGGGCATTTTTACATGCTGGTTGCTGCTTTGCATCAGCCTTTGAGAACATGTGTGCGGTGTCCTGGTGCCTAAGCATGACCCAGCAGGATGCGAACAGCCACACGAACAAAGCGGTCAAACAGGACTTTCCAGGCACATCTCTCCGGTACATATACCGTTGCACTCTATCAAAGGTGTGAATTCAGGGGTCAACAATACCTCCAGCGTTGTCGATACTGTAGCAGGGAGCAGCATTCTTAAATGACACATGATAGACACAAAGACACGAAATGCTATCCAGGACAAAGCACCACACCTCAACTGCACCAGTGAAATGGCAAGCCGGGGTCCCCGGCCTGCGACAAGCAACCCCATGGCTGGCTATCTGCCCGCCTGGGCAGCAGCCCTGAGCCCGTGGGCATTCCCAGGACACCATCATGTGCCCTGGAGTCACCAACGTCCGTGCTGCTGTTCAAGCCGTCGCTGCGCAGGCCCCACGGCGCTGGCAGTGACGCGACGCCGCTGCTGCTGAAGTCGCCATTGCATGCGCTGTCAGGATCAAAGCCTAGTGGTCTGGCCTTGCTGAACATACAAGCGCCACTCTTTGCTGCCTTGTGGCACGCCCACTCCACCCCGCCGCACGTTGCGCCGGCACCCTCCATCGCGTCAGGTGTTGCCAGCGCCGAGCCGCTGCTGATGCTGCTCCGTTCCTCACGAAAGGGACACTGATGTGGAAGAGTGGCGGGAGCGTAAGCAGGCGCGTGTTCTCCTGCTCACTTACAAAATATCTCTACGTATGCATGGGCAAAAGCTTCCGGCGAGTACATACATAGGCATCAGTGGTGTTATCGATCTGTCACCTCTCTCTCCCTTTAGCCCCGCAGGACTCACCGTGCCGGCACAGTCGTGGCACAGCAGCTGACGGTCGCCCTGCCCTCGAGCGCCTTCGTCCCCGCTGCAGCAGGAGCGGCAGGTCACATTCTTGCACGCATCGCACTGGTGTAGTGTCGCATAGGGCGTGGCACGCCTGGAAAGGAGGGGCCAAAAGGGGCGGTGGGCACGTGATGAGGTGGGAGTGGCGTTTCTTTTTAAGCAATGGATTGAATCTGGGCTGTAAGGGTACTACATAGTGCTCTGCTGCTGGCTGATATTGCTCCCCCCTCTCCTGCACAAGGTTCTTACAGGCAGAGGGAACATGGCGCCAGCCCTGAGCGCGTCGGTGTCCGATCGCTGAGGCCTGCAGCACGAGCAGGATGCGGCACTGCACTAGGGTAGGGTGGGATGTGTTCTGCTGCACTGCCGGCAAGGGCAGCAGCATGCCAGCACGGCATAAGAGACCAAATTGTCAACCACTCACCACTATTTCCTCCCCAGTCCATCACCGATGAGGCTGCTGATGTGCACGGAGACGGCGCTTGAATTCAAATCCAGATCGTGTCAGAAGCGATTTTTCAAATGTCTTTCTTGATTATCGCAAGACAAACAGTCGTCTGATAATGATTTGCTTGAGCTCTCTGCAAGTCTTCACTGAGCCTGGGAATATGAAATGCACAGGGCGCGGCGACGCCGGTGCCCAGAAGCCCCAAGGCTGTGGTGATGAGGATCACTGTGCTGTGTGGGGCGCTTCAAACATCACCTCAATTTGACGGGCTACGCGGCACGCATTGACCCACTCCAGACAAACCGCGAAATTGTGCTACGACTGATAGCATCATATACAAAAGTTCTTGCAATAGAAGCGGCTTCGTTTGTTGCTCAGCTACTGCAGAGCGCGGCTCGCCATGGCAAGCTGCTCGCCCCGGCCGCGCACCAGCGCCGTCAGCGCGTCCGGGGGGTGCAGCGCCGCCGAGCCCGTCGTCACTGAGGCGCAACTGCAAGAATTCCGCAAGACCATCTCCGAGCTGGATGCTGTGCTGGCAGTCGGCATCGCCGCGTGGCTGCGCAAGCGCGGCAAGGTGCAGGCCACGCTCGCGCGCCGTCGGCGCAGAGCACGCTGCTAGCGGCGCCACCTGCACCGGTTTCGCATGGCGCCATGCAGCCGACCGCTGTCTGCGTTCCGCGCTGCTTGCTGCGCATGCAGGCGCTGCGCCCCAAACTGACGGAGGAGCAGAAGGAGCAGCTGCTCGAGTGCTTCGACCTCATGGATGCGGACGGCTCGGGCGCCATCGACGCCGACGAGATGGGCGCGGCGTTCAAGGTGCGGGGGTTTTAGCAAGCCATTTGCATGTAAGGATGAGGCAATCGGAGGGCCGAGGTACGGCCAGCGCTGAAGAGCATGCTTCCCGTGCCATGCACCTTCTGCGCCTCGAATGCGCACGGCACTGCCCCGCGTCCGTCGCCACTCGACCGCCGGCGCGGCGTACGAAGCCGTGTGCCCCGCGCGCTCACGCCCGCAGCTGCTGGGGTTCCACCTGCGGCGCGAGGAGGTGGAGGGCATCCTGTCGGAGGTGGATCACGACGGCTCGGGTGCGAGGCAGGGCAGAGCAGCTGTGTTCCTCTTGTGCTGACGCCTGTGGCGCCGACAGAGCGGTGCTGCTGCACGCGTGGGCCCGCTCCTGGGTGCTCGGTGGCGGCTGATGGTCCCGCTGTCGTGTCACGGGCTTCGCTGCTTGCGCCCCAACCCCACCCCCCCCCAGGCGAAGTGGAGTACCCCGAGTTTGTTGAGATCATGACGACCACCCTAGCCAAGCTGGAGCACAAGAAGGAGGAGGAGGGCGGCAGCGCGCCCCCCGTGCCCTTTGCGCTGCTGGCCACGGCATACAAGTGGGTGTCGGCAGTGGGCAGGATCACTGGGCAGCGCGGGCCAACTGCGCTCGTGCGATGCGACCAGCCAGCAGTGCGCCACGCAACGTCCCGCTGCGAGCCCTGGCCGTCTCGGTCTTCACTGGCGTTTGGCCGAGGGTTTCCGAGCAATGCCCACCTGTTGGCCGCCATCTCGCTTTCAGCCACACTCCTGCTTGTCTTCTTGGCCAGGCGCAAGCGCATCATGGAGGGCTTGATCAGTGGCGACAGGGACATGCTAGCGCAGGTGCGCCAGGGGTTGGGCCGGCCGAGGCGAACCCGGATGCGGGGCGCGCTCACCGTCGGTGCGTCCGACCGGCGCCGGGGTGGTACTCGTGAAAGATCAAACGCGCGGCTGGCCCGTGCGTGACAAGCAAAGGGTTGGAGAGGTGTGTAGGGTTGGCACGATTTGCATGCTGTTGCTGACCAGGGGAAGGCGGGTTCGCCACGTGCAGGTGGCTCAAATGGCTGCCGAGTCAGCTCGGCGGGCCAGCTGCAGCGGCTCTGACAGCGCTAAGGACCACGCACCTCCCGCTGGTGAGGAGCGACAGTGCAGCCAACAGAGTGCGCAAATCCAAGGGTTTCTGTATGCATATGCGAGCAGGCTTCAGGTATGGGAAATGGTCTGCAAAGGCTCTTCACCAAGGCGTTGCCTTTGCAACACATGCACACACACGTACACACAACGCACATATGCATACACGCGCACAAGCACACACGCACACACGCACACATGCACACATGCACATGCACAACCACTCCCTCGCCGCTTTGTCCTGCAGGTGGCTCGAGCTACAAGAGCTTGGGCTATGGGAGCGGCGGCAGCGGGAGTGCCACCCCAAGCATGCGCAGCAGCAACACAGGTGCCCACACCAGCACCCTGAGCACTAACCCAGCACAGCAGCAGCCCACGCCCAACGCAGCCAGCCCCGGCCATCCGACGACCGCTGGCGGCCTGAAGGCAGCGGCAGCGGCGGTGGCTGGCCTGGATCCGACCCGGCCAGGGCGGCTGACTCGGCTGCTGCGGAAGATAAGCACAGCCGGCAGGGCCGCGAGAGACCACAGCGGCGCGCTTATGGACGAGGAGATGCGGCTAGAGGGAGGGGCGGCCGGGGAGGCCCCGACGGCGCTGGCGGTGCACCTGGCGGCGACCGGGGGCCTGGGGGAGGACGAGACCGCGACGCTGAGTGAGTTGCGATGACATCAGCGCCGCTGCAGCTCGCTCCGAGGCTGGATGTCACGCTTGATTGCACCTCCCAAAGCCGAGCAATCGCTGTGTTCTCCTGTGCATGCTCACCCTGGGCCCTGCATGGATATCTTCCAACAGATGCTCAGCACGCGCCGCACCTCACGGCTGCAGGGGCCATCTTGGACGAGCGGGGCCTGTTGCGCCGCGGGTCCTTGGGGCCGGACCGTGGTGGCGCGCCCGGCTGTAGCAGCCCCGTCGGCTGTGCAGCCGCTCAAGCGGCGCCTGCGGCGGCAGCGGGGGAGCAGATTGTACAGGCGGAGGCGGGGTGGCAGCAGGCGGGTGCGCAAGCGGCGACCCGTGCCCTGTCGCGGTCGGCGTCTGCGGCTGGGCGTGGAAGCGGGGCTGCGCTTCGAGAGCTGACTAAGGAGTTCAAGGTGGGGAGGGGTTTTTGTTAGTGTGTGTGTGCATGATGTTTTGTGTGTGTGTGTGTGTGTGTGTGTGGGTGGATGGGTGTGACAAGCTGCTCTGTTTGCTGCAGACAGGAGCAAGCAACATGCATCACACACAGATTGATGGGATTTGTCGGGCGCGCAGCCCACACTGCCCTTACACGCTGCCTGCTTGTGCACCCCACCGCCGCCTGCGCAGCCGCTGCTGCTCAACGCAAAGCTGGGGCACAACAGCGGGAGCGCCTTCTCCTCCAGCCTGCTCAGCCCCAGCCGCTGCAGCAGCGGCTCTGGTGCAGGTGGTGCCGGGGGTGGTGGCGGTGGCGATGGGGCCTGCGGCGGCGGCAGCGGCAGCAGCCTCAGCCGCAGCTTGTCACCCTCCAGTCCCACCTTGCGAGCAAGCCGAAGGCACAACAGCACGCCTGTGAACGCGGCCGAAGGTGTTGGCGGCGCTGCCATACCTACCCGCAGCCCGCGCGCGGCGTCGCTGGCGGCGGCCGGCCGCACACACAGCTTGTCGAGGCACGTCCAAGCGCCCAGCACGGCTCGGCCGCGGACGCAGCTCCGCAGGAGTCTGGATGCGCTGCGGGCTCCCTCAGAGGAAGCCCATCACCCGGAGCAGCAGCGTACCTGACAGTTGCCCGCCGTCACAGGCGTAACCGCAGCTGCCGTGCACCGCGGCCAGCCAGCTTCCAGGGCTGCAGTTACGTACGCCGCACGTCTCCTCAGGCTGACGGCAGGGTTTGGACCTCTCGTGCCCCCCATGACCTGCGCGAATGCAGTGGCGATTGCACGGTGGCCCGTCAATGTGAGGACCCTGACAGCGCACTGCCAAGCTGATGAGCCGCCCTGCTCGACCACCAGATGCCTTGAAGTGTTTCCGGCTGAATGTGCGCAAGACCCAGCAGGGCTCCAGGGTCATTGCGTCTTTGCGCGCCTCGCCACGTGCACACGACCTCGCAACAACAGTCAACAGCACAGCATCAGGCATGCCGCGAGGCTACCTGGGGCACCAACAGCCAGCTGACGGCGGAAAATTTTGATGGCGAAAGGAATGTTGCTGTTTAGAACATTTGTACCAGGCCACACCCCTAGCGGCGGGCACAAGTGTGCTGTTGGGGTACTTACCCTTGCACCCCATGCTTGGAGGTGCACCTTTCTCTTACTACATCCGTGTCAGGCAGGTGTGAGCAACTCCGCAAACTCGGCACTGCCTGTTTCTGCGACGTGTTGTCCGCTAACTCCCTTCACACAGACAAAGGGAGAACTTGCTGCCTGCCACTCTCGGCGAGTTGGTTGAGGCAGCAAGAGCAGCAGGCGAAACATTTCGCCACCTCCTCAGGAAGGGCCCCCTGGCACACTGTTATGGCACTTGGCCGGGGAATTGTCATGATTGACGCACCATAGGAAGGCCCTAGGCAAGGAGTGGGGGCGCGTGCCCGCTGGCTGGCCTCTGCCCTCCACGAAGGGCAGAGGCCATGGAGCAACTTGTCAAGGCTCAGGCGCACGTTTTGCCCAGGCCGCGCACCTGCAGTGCCATGGCTGAAAGAATGTGAAACAATCAGGCTGCTGCAGATTGTGGCCATCCGCCTGACATCCAAGTGGCGGGCGCGTTTGTTCAACCTGCCTGCTTCAAACCCTTGCGCCTGCATTTCATAAGTATACTGGCACCTTCCGAGGGATGGTGACGCAATCGCATTGTGTCAACAGGTTGCCCCACTTTCCTCTGCAGCAGATAGAGCCAAGCCAACCTGGCGGATTGCGGGCACGGGATGCAACCACGCCTGACCTTACGGTTTGTATAATGTCCTGTTATGCTTATTGATATACCATTGGTTCCCGCTCTTGTTACACGCAGGCTGCCCAGCATGTCACAGTTTCTGGCTCTTTGCTTTCCGCTTCTTCTTCCGCTTGGCGCCTCCTTGACCGCCAGCGGTGCTGCCGATCCGCGTGCCGCCGCTGCCGCCCAGGAGCGCCTGCATGATACACACGGGAGACGAAAGCAAAGGGCCAGGGTTCGACCAAGCTACTGCATGACTGGGGCACATGCTCTGCAGGCGGTTTGAAGGCCTGGAACGATGCGGCAAAGCACAAAGACCTCTTTGCCCCACTTGCCCACTTGTTGCCACTGTCTGTTGCTAGGCGAGCAGGCACCGTCCATGCGACAGGCAGCCGACCCATGAGGCGGGCTGCTCAGAGCGATTGGCTGCCCAGCCCCCCACCTGCAGCTGCTCCAGTCGCTCCATTTCCTGCAGCAGCGCCGCCTCAGCCGCATCCATCCCACCGGATGAGCCCTGCGCCGCCTCCGCCTCTGGCCACGGCTCCAGCTGCTGCGAAATTGAGTTGCTGCTCCTGCCGTTGCCGTTGCTGCTGCTGCTGCCACCGCTGTTCTCGACGCCATTGCTGCTTCCAGTGCCATTGATGCTCCCTGCGTTGTGATTTCTGCCGCCACTGTCGTAGCTGCCGTTGCTGCTGGGAATGGCGTATCCACTGCCGCCGCCGCCGCTCGCGCTCAAAGCACCACCTGTCACGCCGCCGCCGCCGCCGCTGCTGCTGCTGCTCCTGCTGCTGCCGACCGCGTCGCTGTCCGCAGGCGGCTGCTCCAGCGCCCCGATCAGCTCGAGCAGCTCAGAGGGCAGCTCCAGGTCGGCGTCGAAACCGCTGACACCTCCGCCCGCGTGCGGCCGCCCCTCCGCGGCCTCCTGCAACCGCTGCCACTGCGCCTGCGCCTGCCGCTCCCGGTCATCCCGCTGGTCGGCTGCGAGGCCGGCGAGGCCGTCGCGGGACACCGACTCGGCGGCTGCCGCGGCGGCCTCCAGCTCAGCGAGCTGCTGCTCAAAGGAGGAGGCCACGCGGATCGCGTCGCGGCGCTCGCGCTCCGCCCTGAAGGGCGGGATTGGACGGTGCACGCAGAGGGGAGGGTGAGGGGACAGCAGGGTGGTTGGCAACGCAAAGTCGGGGACAGGCGCGACCGCTGGGTTGATAGGCAGAAAATGCATGGGGGCTCGGGCGCCAACAGAGGCGCGGCCAGGGTGCGTGGAGAGGGGCATGGGGAGGTTGGCGCGCCGCAGTCCGGTGACGCTGCCCCAGATGCGCAGCGCACACTGTGCCAGGTGCGCAGTACGCGCTGCAACTGGTGTGCATACGGGCCCAAGTGCAGGTGCGCCGCCCCCAAGCACGGCCAGGGCTGCCGTGCCGCACACCTGGCGGCCGCCTCGCGCTCCATGGCGCGCCGCTGCTGCGCCTCCTCCCGGTCCAGCGCCTCCTGCGGCGCGCGCACGCAGGGCAGAGTTCAGCAGCACGGGCCGCGAGGGGATCGGGTCTGGCAGCCAGGCGCAAGCCCTTTGCTAAGATGCAATGTGTTGGAAGGGGGCTGAAAAGCAGCATCCCCAGGAGCCATGCCAGCATTTCCCATGCGGCTTCCAAGCCCTGGGCCGTCATCTATCCAGCCCCGCCTCCGACAGGGCCGCCAGCCCCCGCCCATCTATGCGACCCGCGCGCGCGGCGCCCACCTGCATCGCGCGCGCCTCTGCGGCGGTGTCCACCTTGCTGAGCGCCGCCTCCAGCCTGCTGAGGGCCTCGGCCTGCTCCCGCTCGCGCCGCGCCTGCGCGCCCGTGCGCCGCCGCGCGGCCGCCGCCTCGGCCTCCTGCCTCTCCAGCTCCCGCAGATCCAGGCCCAGGCCGAGATCCTCGTCCTCGTCCTCGTCAGCGTCCAGCAGTGACGACGCGGCCTCGCCATCCCGCCCGTCCGCCTGCCGCTGCTGCCGCAGCGTCTCCGCCGCCGACGCCGCGTCGCGCGCCGCCCAGCTGTCCTGGCTCGCCTGCTCCATCGCGGCCGCGCGCGCGAGCAGCTCCCCGCGCCGCGCCTCGCGCGCCGCCTTTGCGGCCGCGCGCCGCGCCGCCGCGGCCTCCAACGCATCCACCTGCGCCGCCAGCTCCTCCTCCTCCCACGTGCCGCCCACGCTGCCGGCGCCGCTCGCCCCGCCCCCCGCGCCGTCGAGTGAGACGCCCACCGCGCGCGCCGCCGCGAGCGCGGCGCGCGCGTCCTGCAGCAGGCCGCGCCACGCGGGCACCCACCACTCGTCCGCCTTGCCGGCGGCGGCGGCGCCGGCGGGGGCGCCTGCGGGCGCCGCCGCGACGCGCTGCCAGTCCTCGATCGCGCTGAGCACGCTGCCTGGCCCAGCTGACAGGTTGTCCAGCAGCGCCGAGTCCAGCTTCCTGCTGAATTCCGTGTCGAAGGCGCCCCCCGGCCCCGCGCGCCGCCGCGCGGCGCGGCGCTCGTCGCGGGCCGCCTTGGCGACGGCGGAGGCGGCGGCGGCGACGGCGGCGAGGCGGTCGAGGCGCAGCTGCTCGAGGGCGTCGCGCTTCGCTTGGAGGGAGCGCTTCATGTCCGCCAGCTTGCGCTGGCATGGTCAGAGCCATGTGTGCGTGTGAGTGAGTGTGTGTGTGTGTGTGTGTGTGTGTGTGCGTGCGTGCGTGCGTGCGTGCGCGCGCGGGGTGGGAAGTAGATTGTGGGATATGTGATGTCGCTTTGAGCAGCGAACCAGGGGTCATATCTGCATGTGATTTTGGGGGACAGGGGTGGGCGACCCCACAGGCGGCACCAAACCGGCCCTGCGCTTTGAGAGCGATGGAACTCGAGCACTGCCACCAGCAACAGCCCTCCTCCCTCTGATACAACACAATATCTTGGTCAGAATGGTGCATGCACGCCAACACACGCACAAACGCACACGCGCACACATGCACACACACACACACACGCACACACACACACACACACGCGCGCGCACCTCCAGCCGCGCCTCCTCCTGCTCCACCGCCCACAGCGCCACCTCCTCCCTCTCCAGCTCCCCCTGCGCCTCCTCCAGGTCAGCAATGGCGGCGTTGGCGGCGGACGCAAACGCGCCCAGGTTGGCGCGCGCGGCGGCGATGATGTCAGCGTCGAGGCCCAGCCGCTCGGCGATGTAGAGCGCGTTGGAGCGACCTTTGGGGGTGCATGAATCGGATGCATGCAATGTTGTGTGTGTGTGTGTGTGTGAGAGCAGGTGTGTGTTTGCACATGCGTGGATGCACGTGTGCCGGTGTAAGAATTGATGTTGGGTGAGCAGGCAGACTGGTGGACAGGTCGATGTAAGGAGTGGCGAGGATGGTGGGACGAATGGGAGATTGAGAGTTGGCTTGGATGCGGTCACGTGCTCTGAAAAGCGCGATTGTTGCCGGACACAACGCGATGCATCCGGGGTCGGGGGCAACTGGAAAAGATGGGGGGTCGCAGGTGCGGCGCAGGGCCCCTGGCCAACCCAGGCCCACCGGGGACGCCCCACAGCAGCTTGTAGGTCGGCTCCAGCTTCTCCGAGTCAAACTCGACGCTGGCGTTCTCAAACCTGAGGGGAGGGGAGGGGGGGGGGGGGGGGGGCGGGAGTAGCAGGTGAGGACGGCGGTGGCGGCGCGGGGCTTCGCAACAACCTGTTGGGACGGGCCGTTGGCGCGTTCGGCGTGTTCGGCTGAGACGTGGGCCGCGGAAGAGGAGCGGTGGTATTGGCGGCCCCAGCTGTCCACAGTCACGACAAGTGGCCGGCTCCGTCGTTTGAAGCTTTCATCGTACCAAGTGCCTCGCCAGCTGCGACCCCCACCCCCACCACTAACCCCAATGCAGTCGCCGCCGACCCCCACCTCGGGTCCTCGAACTTCAGCTTAGTCATGATGCTGTGGTGCGTCGTCGCCACCGTCAGCGCCCCGCACCCCACGCCGCCACGCACCAGCCGCCGCAGCAGCGCGACGCCCAGCGCGGCGCCCTCTGTGGGGTCTGTGCCTGTGCCCAGTTCATCCAGCAGCAGCAGCGACTTGCCGTCCGCCTCCGCCCTGAGGGCCTGGATCCTGTCGATTGGGCGGCGGTTGGCGGGCGGCAGTGGATGCGGGCGGTGAGGCGAGCGTGAAGTTGTGGGTGCGGCGCAAATCAGGCGGTCAAGGCAGTGCCTAGAAAGGCTGCCAGGGGTCCGGTGGCGTGGCAATCAGCGCCATCCTGCCCCCTCGCCGCCACCGCCGCGGGGCGCCTGCTCAATGCAGCCTGAGCCTCGAAGGCCGGAAGGCGGCGGGCGGCAGGGGCGGGCGCGGCGCTCGCCTGCGCAGGTGGCCGCTGAAGGTGGACAGGTTGGCGGTCAGGCTCTGCTCGTCACCGATGTCAGCCAGGATCGAGCTGAAGCACGGCAGCCGCGCGGGCGACTGGGCGGGCACGGGGATGCCGGTCTTAGCCATCAGGGCCGCCAGGCCAAAGGCCTTCATCGTGGCCGTCTTGCCGCCTGGGGGTGGGGCGGCCGGGCGCGCGCGGCACGCGGTATTGAGGGTCACCGTGGCGGCCGGCGAGGGGCGGGGCGAGGTGGCTGGCGAAAAAGCAGAGATGGCCGGCGACAAAGGCGGCTGCAGCGCAAGCGTCCCCGCCCGATCGCCGTGCAGCCAGGGGTGGCCGGCTGTTCGCCGACCGCAGCGGCGCCGCCCCAAACCCGCGCCGCGGGGCGTGCAACAAGGTGCGATGAGCGTTGCGTAAACCCACCCGTGTTTGGCCCGGTGATGACGACCGCGCTGGTCTCCGGCTGGATGAACAGGTCCAAGGGCCGCGGCGCCCTCAGGCCCCGCAGCTCCCGCCGCAGCATCGCCACCTTCGCCGCCTCCTCGTCTTCCTCAGACTCGCTGCCCGAGCCCGCCGCCGCCGCCATGTTGTCCTTCCGGTTCGATAAGAACCGCCGCTTGTGCCGCGCCTGCGCGTCGTTGCCGCCGCCCGGCCGCGCCGCGCGCTGCTGGCCGCCGGCGCCGACAGAGGGGTCGGCGCCGAGCAGGCGCAGCTGCCGGTGCAGGCGCTCCCGAGATTTCATAAAGTTGGCCAGCAGCAGCGGGTGACTCAGCCCCTTGAGCCGCACGACCGGGCCCCCCGCCTCGCCCTCGCCCTCCCCGCCGTCGTCGCCGGCGTCCCCGCCCTCATCCTCCGCTGAAGACAGGCTGGCCCCAGCCGCCCAGGCGGCGGCGGCGGCGCGGCGGCGCGCGGCGGCGCCGGCGCGGGGCCGGAAGACGTCCTCCCAGGGCGTGAACTGCGGCATGACGCCGCCGAGCCACGTGCCGCAGCGCGCCTTGGCGGCGAGCACGTCCAGCCACATCACGGCGTCAAAGCACTGTTGTGTGTGTAGTTGCGTGTGTGCACGTGTGTGAGGGTGTGTGGGTGTGTTGGTGTTGAGGCCCGGTGTCATGTTTGGGGACTGCGCGTGTGGGATTGAACACCGGTGTGACAACATGCTGCGTTGGGGTTCAACTTGTGTGGACAATCCTGAGTGTAGCGCATGCGGGCTGCAGCAAAGCGAGTTTCAGAGCGTGCGCCTTCTCATCCCCCATGAAAGCGCGCGCACACACACATACACACACCCACAGACCAACCGCATGACACTCCCCCTCAACCCTGCAGGCCCCGCCCACCGCCTCTGCGTCGTGCAGCACGCCCATGAGGCGACCGCTGAGGTCCCAAAGCACAGACTCCTCCGCCGCCATCGCCTCGGCCCGCGCCGCGATCAGCTCCAGGTTTAGGCCCACGACCTGGCGGGTGGGGTCGGGGGTTGGGGTGGGGAGTTGGGGTTGAGGGTGGTTGGTATGGAGGGTGTTGGATGCGAAGGGTGGTTGAGATGGCGGTTGTTTGTGGTTGGGGCAGAG